AAACCTTCAGAAGTTTATAAAATAAAAAATCCAATTCTTTCTCTTCCAATTCTACTTCTCTCACGCAACCACTGTGTCTGTTTGGTTTGTATTATTGCCAGACACTTTCTATGCATTTCTAAACATATAGGTAAAGATGTGGAAATAATCTCAAATACTTTCCATCTTTTGCTTGGCTGATTAAAACAGCTTTCTCAGTAGTCTCCCTGCCTAATCCCATCTCCACACTGGCCATTAACAGAGTTGTCTACCTAAATAGCAAAGTTGCTCGGCTTAAAGAGCTCTTCTTGTTCCCTATCACCTATCCGATCTGGACCAACCCCTTAGTATTGCATATATAGAAACCCTTCACAGTGTGGGCCTGGCATCTGTCTCCAACCTTACTCCTTGCCACTTCTGCTTTGTTCCTTATCTCATTATTCCCTGGATTGGTCATGCCTCATCATGTCTCCCTACCTTTGCACATATGCCTACTCTCTTCTCTACATGGCAAGTTTCTACTCATTCTTCAGGATCCTGCTCATCTGTTGCCTGTTCTGCTGAGGTGTCTTTATGTCTTTACCATTTTTCCCAAAGCAGAGATAATGGCTCTCTTCTCCATTCCTCCAATGCCTTAATCATATCTTGGGTTTGGTTTGGTTTTTGGTCTGTTTATATGTCTCTTCCTTAGTTCCCTAAAAAAGCAGAACTCTTGTTTTACATATCATTTTGTGTCTGCAACTCTGCTTGCACAGATCAGGCATTTAGTAAATGTTTGGTAAACGGACATGTCTGTACTTTAGACTTATTTTGCTATAAAGACCTAAGTAAACAAAGTAAAATTTTAGATCCCATCACTTTTTGGAATTTTGAAGCCATTTTGCTTAATATTTTTATGAGTTTTTCTTAATGTTATTATTTTTGGCCTTTTAAGAATGGTAGTACAATTTCGGCATGGCCTTATTTCTTATAAAATAACTCAGCTTTTAATGGAATACTATGTAACAATTAAAAATAATGAGCTAGATCTCCATAGAAATAAGAAGAGATGTACAACATATGTTGTGAAGTAAAAAGTGAGTTACATAAAAGTTTGATCCCATTTTTAAGGATGTTATGTGTAAAGAAATCAAGACAAATATGTTAGATTATCCTTTTTTCTTTATTTTTTTATTCTCCAAACTTTTTATTAAAACATTTATTTATTTTATTTTAGAGAGAGAGCGAGAGCACGAGAGCATGAGAGCAGGGGTAGGGGCAGAGGGAGCGATAGACCCTAAAGCAGACTCCAAGCTGAGTGTCGAGCCCAATGTGGGGCTCAGTCTCGCAACCCTAAGATCATGACCAGAGCTGAAACCAAGAGTCAGATGCTCAACTGACTGACCCACGTAGGTGCCCTTATTCTCCAATCTTTTAATATAGTATTTCTACTGTATAATTCTGCAATGTTTAAATTTTTGTACACTAAGCATATACTTTCAGATGCAGAAAAAAAAAACCAAACCAACCACTCTTTAGTTTTCAACCTTTCGTATTCTTATTCACAAAAAAATAAAGTCTAGATAGCAGAAGTTTGTTTTGTTTTGTTTTTAGTTTGCCCAGAGAGTTAAAAAATATCCTTAAGTAAAAACTGAAATATAAACATGAGTCTGAAGATGTTTTAGCTCTATACATATGAGATCCGGTCAGTTAGGAAGTGTTTAAGTGCCTACTGTGTGAGTATAGTGTGCCAGGTGCTGTAGTAGAATATGAAGGATGTAGTTTCTCTTGTGTAGTAACTTATAGCTTATGCTGAGTAGAAGAAATTCCTGAGTAGCAGTTTGTGAAGGAGATAAAATAAGTTATAGTCTATAATTACCTATTTTAAAGATATTTTCTCTAAATTGAAAAATTTCCCTTAATTTTGAGGATGAAACTTTATTTCAGTGTTTTATTAGGAACTGAAACATAAGAATTATTTTGTTGTAAAGTCAGATTGGAAAGGACATTTGCTTGTAGGTGAGACATGATGAAAAAATAAGATAGCATAAGAAAGATTTTTTTTTAGTGATTAAAGGGCAAACATTTTAAAATATAAACCCATGAAGTCAGTTCCTAATAAAGATGCCATATGTGTTTGACTACGATCTGAATTGTCACTCAGATCATTAAACAGTGAAAATACAGATTTATAGTTGCTGTACAAAGAGGATTTTCTTGACATACTTAGTTGATATTTTCTCTAACTTTGACTGAATAATTGTTAACTGAATATCTTTGGCTTACCATTTGCTACCAAGGTAGGTTTGGTTTAAAGTTTCAGGATTCTAAAACTCATTGAAAATCGTTTGGGATATTTTGTCTCCTCTACCTGTAGAATGAAGCAGAATTTTAATAGAAAGCATTTGGTTTATGTATTTAAACAGTTTTCTTCTGAAAATGAGATACTCTTTTTATGATGGAGATTCCATTGTGATTGCTGCTTTTTTCTTTCTTTCTTTCTTTTTTTTTGCTTCCTACTGAAGAAGCTCTTAGTGCACTTGCTAAGAACATAAGGAGTCATGTCAGAGGTCAGCTATTTGAGTCCATTTTCCCACAGTTGCCTGGTGCGAGTGATCTTTTACTGTGTTTTAAAAAAATGGGCAAGGATTAGAGAGGATTAGAAAGAATATTACCCTCCCGAACATAGGCCCAAGGCACTAAGGGGAGAGAACCCAGCCAGGCAGCAAATGGGCTTTGCTTGACCAGGACACAACCTCTGCTGCATTCCTTTAAGAAACTGAATGGGAAATGTTAAGTCCCCAAACTGGATTAGTAAATAATCTCATAGCTTGTGACATCTGCTAAAATAAATTGATGAGTAGACTGCATTCTTACACTTTGAGGAGAGAGCCAGAGACATCAAGATTAACTATGCTTTCCCCCCCCCCCCCAGCTTTATTGAGGTATAGGAGTAAGCGTAATTAAAGATGAGCTTGCTAAAAACTCCGTGAGTGCTGGAAAGGCACATTTCATAAAAAAGAAAAAATTATTTTAGCTATATTAATACAATGCGTACATATATATTGACTAATAAACTAAAGTTCAATTTTGAAACCACTACACCTTTTTGTTTCTTCCTGCTTATAGCAGTTTTACAAAGTGCCACAAATTTCAGCTCAAATTTATGTCGTTTATCCCTTAGTTTGTGTAACCTGAGGAACTTAGAATTTAAAGTTTGAGAATATACAATGTACAACACTTCTTAGGAGTGTTTCTCTTTCTATATTTTATAACAGAAGTTAATGTGGTTTGGACCTTATGACACATAATTTGGTATCAAATTATGTAGAACCCAAGAGGTTGTTTCAGACCAGTCTAGTAGGGGAAAGGTACTCTGGTCTTAGTCTTTGGAGGAAGTATTTAGCTAACTAAACATTTTTTGAAAAGTTTTAAGTTGACCACTTTAATAGTAAAGATGATGTACAAGTGGTTAATTTTGCATCTTTCTTCATGTAATTAGTACATTTAATTAGACTGCTTTTGTTGTGGATTATAATATTAAGATAAGTATTTTCTTTAAGAATTTAAGATATAATTTAATTTCATATGTGAATAAGAACTGATAGGCTATAACTTCTTTAACAGGCACACTCACTAATTTCTTAGATGTATCTTGCTCTAAGCTTTCTTAACTTGTTTAAGTTGGCCTGTACTCCAGCCTGCTGTGTCTCCCCAACCTGCTGCCTGATCTGTTCACCTACGTTTTACACATCATTTTATATCAATTCGAATCCCAAATTCCATCAAGTGGTTTATTCTTAACTCCTAAATCATAATTAATACCTCCTAAATGTATAGTTACCATATGACCCAGCACTTCCATTCCAAGGTATATACCAAGAGAAATGAAAACAGATGTTCACATAAAAACGTGTGCATGAATGTTTATTGCAGCATTATCCATAATAGCCAAAAGATGAAAACAACCAAATGTTCATCAAATAATGAATGGATAAATAAATGTGGTATATTCATATAATGGAATATTATTCAGCCACAAAAAGGAATGAGGTACTGGTATATGATATAACATGGATGTACCTTGAAAACACTATGCAGAGTGGAGGAAACTGGTTAAAATAGACTATATATTATGTGATTCTCTTTGTATGAAATAGCTAGAACAGGCAAATTTATAGAGATGCAAAGTGGATTAGTGGTTGCTTAGGGGGAATGGGGATTAGAGGGTAATAAGGAGGGTGGGATTCTTTTTGTGGTGATGAAAATGTTCTAAAATTGACTGTGATAATGGTTGTACATATCTGTGAATATATTTAAAAACCATTAAGTTGTACACTTTTTTTGAGTTGTACACTTAATTGGGTGAATTGTAAAATATGAATTATATCTCAATAAAGCTATTATTAAAAAGCTAAAAAAAATAGTATCTTCTATCCAAATTCTTACATATACTGTTTATACCTCTAGTAAAACACTCAGCAGAGTCTTGTTATAATTATTAACTTAAGAAATCTGTCTTTCTCATTATATTAGGACGCTCCAGAGAATCTAGTGTTTCCTAACAAACATAGTGCTTTGCTCTCAGTAGATATTAATTTAATTGAATGTATTCACAATTAAGTTCCTCCATTTATAAAATGAGAACAAGAGAAAAAAAGTTGAATGTCACCACAAAATATTGTTCCAAAATTGTATTTTATGATTTTTATACTTAATTCTCTTTTGGAAAAATGGATATTTATTCTCACATTATTTCCTCAGCATGAGTTTCCATTACATATTTACCAAGATCATAAATAAGCCATTTACCCCTTATTTTTGACTTTAGGAATATCCTAATCTTTGGAATTGGCATATAGAAGCATTTTACATACATGTTATCAGTGTGACCCTCTTGTCATCTCAACAAGCTTAATTTTTTTTTTTAAAGCAAATTGACATTATAAAATTTGAATCTGCATTTTTGTGGGTATTTGAACTTAACATTATGTAATTTTTCATTTTTCTGTGGTATGTCTTTGTGTGTGTTATCTTTCTAGTACTTACTAGAGATGAAAAGTCTAATTTTACCTCCAGAACACATTCTGAAACGGGGTGATAGTGAAGCAATCGCCTATGCCTTCTTCCATCTTCAGCACTGGAAGAGAATAGAAGGTGCTCTTAATCTCCTACAGTGTACGTGGGAAGGCAGTAAGTATTCTTTTCCAAAGGTACTACTAATCTCTCAGACTATTAATTGCATTCCCAAACAGCCTTTTTAAATGAGATTGTCTGAGTTTCCCTATGTATTGTTTTTCAGATTGCTTTCAAAGTGAACCCAGAGGTGTTTGTTTGGTTTACTGGTAGGAGAAATACTTAATGTACTTACACTGATGCCACATTTAGGAAGAGCAAAATGAGAAACTGTTGTAGTATCTGCCGTATGTTCATTTAAATTACATATTTGTAAAGGAAAAAAATGAAAACTTACATTCCTTGATTTATAGGCTTTTTAATATGGTTGAGTTATTGTAATATTTTTTAAATTGGACTTTTGTTTTATTTTCTGATTTTACATCTTGAAACTATTTTCTTCACAACTAGTATCAATTCTTGTTCTTTTTTAAAAATCTGTTTTTTTATTGTGGTAAATTACACATAACATAAAAGTTACTATTTTAACCATTTTATTATTTTTTAAAGATTTTATTTTTAAATAATCTCCACACCCAACATGGGGCTCAAAATCACAACCCTGAGATCAAATTGCATACTCTGCCGACTGGGTCAGCCAGGCACCCCCATTTTAACAGTTTGAAAATGTACAGTTCAGTGGCGTTGTGTATATTCACATTGTTGTGCAACCATCACCATCATCTATCCCTAGATCTTTTTCATCATCCCAGTCTGAAAATTCTGTACCTATTAGACAGTAACTCCCCATTTTTTCCCTCCTCTCCAGCCCCTGGTAACCATTCTGCTTTCTGTTTCTGACTTTGACTAGTCTGGGTATATTCTATAGTGGAATCCTATAATGAGTGTTTGTCATATTAAATCAGGCTTACTTCACTAGCATAAAGTTGCAGCACGTGTCAGAAAATCATTCCTGTTTAGGGCTGAATAATATTCCACTGTATGTATATACGTACTTTGTTTATCCATTCATCTGTCAGTGGACATTTGGGTTGTTACCACCTTTTGGTTATTATGAATAATGCTGATATGAATATGGGTATTACAAGTATTTGTTCAAGTTCCTGCTTTCAGTTCTTTGGGGAATATACCTAGAAATGGAACCAGTAGCTTATATAATTCTGTGTTTAATTTTCTGAGGAACTGTCTTACTATTTTCTGTGGCAGCTGTACCATTTTATATTCCACCAGCAATGCACAAAGGTTTCTCTTTCTCTGTTTCCTTGGCAACATTTGTTCTTTTTTTTTTTTTTTAATAATAGCCGTACTAATGGGTGTGAAGTGGTATTTCATTGTGGGCTTGATTTGCATTTTCCTAATAATTAGTGTTGTTGAAATTTTTTTATGTCCTAACTGGCCATTTGTGTATCTTCTTTGGAAAACTAGATTGTTTTTCAACTAACTACCAGATCCCTTATTTGTAACTTCCTAAGATCACTTAGAAAATGAAAAAGCTTAATCAAAATATTTTGTCAGTTGAATTCTTATAATGATTGTCTTGAAAAGTACACTCCTGCTATCAATAAAAATTCAAAAATAAATTCAATACTCATTAACTAGAATTGGTTAACCCCCTCAGTTCCCAAACTTTGTACTGAGGCACCTTGGGGCATTGTAGCAAATTCACAAGCGTGCCATGGGATATTTAAAATTTTCAGTGGAAACACAGCAGTACTCAACATCTGTCAAGCATCATTCAAACTGTTAGCTCTGCATAGTTGAAGGTTTCACCATTAGGTGGCTCTCCATTCTCTATTTCTTTTGATGTCATAGCTTCGCAAAGCTGGGTTTTTCTTTTACTTTTTTTTTTTTAGATTTTTATTTATTTGACAGAGAGAGATCACAAGTGGGCAGAGAGGCAGAGAGAGAGAGAGGAGGAAGCAGGCTCCCTGCGGAGTAGAGAGCCCGATGTGGGACTCGATCCCAGGACCTTGAGATCATGATCTGAGCTGAAGGCAGAGGTTTAACCCACTGAGCCACCCAGGTGCCCCCAAAGCTGGGTTTTTCTTAATTGCTATGGTTAAAAGAAGTACCACACAAAAAAATTAATGTGGAACAGGAAATGAGGATGGCAGTGCCTAATCTGATTCCAAGGTTTTAAAAGTTATGTGGTGCCCAAGAGGTCCATACATGCCATTAGTAAGAAAATGTAATTGTTTAAAAATTAAATCATTAGAGGCACCTGGCTAGTTCAGTCGGTAGAGCATACTGCTCTTGATCTTGGGGTTGTAGGTTCAAGCCCCATACTGAGTGTAGAGATTACTTTAAAAAAATAAAATCCTTTAAAAAATGAAATAATTGTTTTCCCCTTCATTTTACATATATATATTTTTTATATTTTATATAAATATATACTATATATTTATATTTATATTTTATAAATGTATTTATATTTTATATATTTATATTTATAGATTTATTTTATATATATGTAAAAATATATATTTCCCTTTAAGTTATATGTATATGTATATACATACAAATATGTATTTTTCTTTTCCTTTAATATATATATGTATATTGGACCCACTATGCAAAGGGAACTGCTAGTTATTTCTTTCAGCCTAGGGACATCATAAACAGAGACATGAAGGGTACTGTGTATCCTTGAAGCAAGAGAATTGGGGAACTTCTGCATTAGCTGCTTGCTAAGAGTCAGGCACTGTGCTTGCCACTGACAATATGCACATTAATGAAACTGGGACTGCTAAAACTGAGGAGTGGAATGTCTTTGGGTAATTAGACTTCCTTTTGCTTTTTCTCTAGTAGTCTATAAGCTCCTCAAAGCTAGGTCCTCTATCTCATTGATCCTTTATGTATCTTCAGTGCCTGATGTTCTGCCTTGCACATAGGAGGTTTTCAGTAAATATGGAACTTACATTGCATTTCATAAATAATCTTCTTTATGAATGATTTCCTAGTGTTACCACTGATTTGTTCTGTGACTTTGGACAACTTCCTACTTTTTATTGTGGCAGAACAAAATTCATGTTTTGACAGAAGTTTATAGAGCTAAGCAGTAAAGGAAAAACAGAAACCTTATCACAATTTTTATGAATACTCAGCTAGTTGAGTAGGTGACAAAGATTCCTTCTTTAAGAAGTCTGAAAGAGCTGATGATAATCTAGATCAGGGTTGGGTAAACTCATTCTGTAAAGAGCCAGATGGTAAGTATTTAGTCTCTGTGGCTATAGCTGCGGTTATAACTACCCAACTCTTGTAGCATGAAAGCAGCATTACATAATATATAAATGAACAAGCAGGATTTTTTTTTAAGTCTTATTTATTTATTTATTTATTTGACAGAGAGAGAGAGACATCACAAATAGGCAGAGAGAGAGGGGGAAGCAGGCTCCCCGCTGAGCAGAGAGCCCAATGCAGGGCTCTATCACAGGACTCCAAGATCATGACCTGAGCTGAAGGCAGAGGCTTAACCCTCTGAGCCACCCAGGCACCCCTGAACAAGCAGTTTTAACATCTGTATTCTAATAAAATTTTATTTATAAATATATATATTGGTCCAGGTCTGGCCAATGGGTGATGCTTTGGTGACCTCTGATCTAAGTTAAATTCTGCTTATAGAAAATTTTAGTGACATCTAACACATGAAGTTAGGAGCCGTTGAGAACTCTTATAGGTTGCTAACAGTTAAGGTCACAACAGTTATACATGTGGCAATTTTATGAAGATTCCTGGAAGAAAAGGAATTCATACCCACAGAGTTAAGTCTGTTGTGTTTATAGCCAGGAGACAGAGGCAAGAAGGATCCAGCCAGCCTTATCACCCATTACTCCCTTTAGTTTTATTCCAGCCAGACCATTTTATTCTCTAAATAAATCTTATTCTTCCTCTTAGTCCTTCTTTTGCTTACTTTGTTTCTTTCATCTAAAAGTATCTCTAAAAAAATTAATAAATTCTATGTGAAAGTTTTATAAAGATATGTCTCCAAAATAGCTTCGATCTGTAGTATGGGATGAAAGTGAATCTGAATGGAATGTCAACCTGTGTATTTTTTTTTTCCTCAGCTTTTAGAATGATTCCATATCCATTAGAGAAAGGCCATCTATTTTATCCTTATCCCAGCTGCACAGAGACTGCTGATAGAGAGCTGTTACCTAGTAAGTAAATATTCTAATTTTCCTAAACTTAAAAGTACTTGTGAGATTGTTTTTCATAGTATTTTTCTCATAGTAAAACTGCCTTTGGTTGAAGTTCAGGATACTGTTTAAAATATTACTTTAGCCACTTCTTGGATATAGTTGCATAAGTTCATTCCCATGTATTTTTGGGGTAAAATGCTATGTGAGATGCAATGAAGAACACAAGAATTGAAGATATTAAAAAGAGCAGTCATCTTACAAACATTTAAAGAAGTAATAATACCAATCCTTCACAAACTCTTTTCAGAAAAGAAAGGGAGAAAGAACACTTACCAGCTTATTTGTGAGACCAGTATTACCCTGATACCGAAACCAAAGACATTACAAGAAAACTATAGAACGATATCCCTCATAAATATAGACACAAACATGGTCAACAAAATATTAGCAAACTGAATCCAGCCACATATAAAAAAGATTATACTCCAGAGCAAGTGGGATTTACCTCACAAATGCAAGTGTTTTAACATTTCAAAAGGCAATGCGTCATGTTAAGAGAATACATGACAACAGATGCAGGAAAAGCGGCTGACAAAAAAATCCAACAACCATTCATGGTAAAAATTTTGAACAAACTAGGAATGAAAGAGAATTTCCTTAACCTGACAAACAGCATCTATGAAAACCCCACAGCTGACAGTATCCTTAATGGTGATTTTATGATTTAAACACTGAATGCTTTCTCCCTAAGATTAGGAATAAGGCAGGGATGTCTGCTCTCCCCACTCCTCTTCAGCATTGTACTGGAGATCCTAATCAGTGCAATCAAGGCAGAAAAAAATAAATAAATAAAAGGAATTCATGTTGGGAAGGAAGAAGACCTGTCTTTATTCACAGATGACATCATGTTCTCTGTAGGAAATCCTAAGAAATTCATAAAAATACTTTAGATCTAATAAACAAGTTCAGCAAGTTTGCAAGATATAATATCTGCATATAAAACTTAGTTGCATATTTATATACTGGCAGTGAATAATCAGTCCAAAAATGAACTTTAGAAAACATTTCTAATCACAGTAGCATCAAAAAGAACAAACAGTTTAGGAATGACTTAACAAAAGAAGTATGTGTCTTGTATGCTAAAAACAATGTAATTTTCTGGGAGAGATTAAAGAAAATCTAAGTAAATGGAGAGACCTTCCATGTTTATTAATTGGAAAACCCAATATTATTTATATGGCAATTCTCTCCAAATTGATCTATAGATTCAATACAATCCCTACTAAAATCCCAGGAGGGATTTTGCAAAAACTGAGAAGCTGACCTCAAAATTTATATGGAAAGGTATGACACTCAGAATAGCCAAAACAATCTTTACGAAGAATGAAATTGAAGGGACTACACTTTCCAGTTCTAAAAAGAGCAGTCACGGACTTAGGGGCAGAACCAGATGTATATAGGGTTATGATCTCTGAGAGTCTCATTGAGTCCTTGCTTTCAGGAAGCCAGACCTCAAAAGAATGATCTATACTTATTTGTCTCAGCTGCCTTATCCACTACTCTTCTTCCCTGTGAACTGGTAAATTTATGTGTAACTTTTCTTTTTATGATTTAACCAATAAGTAAGCATGCTGAAGGTTATAAACACTAGCACCATATTTCCTTAGGTGATATAAACCCACGCCACAGTTTTTACAGTTCTGGGGCCATTAGAACTCAAGTCAAAGAAGGAAAGTTGCAGTTTTACAGCCAACAAACATAGTGAGCTGAAAAGTCCAAACAAACAGATGAAAATATAGGAGAGATTATGGAAATCGAGTATGCTGATCTTTTTCTCCCAGGGTCTTTTATTTTCTTCCATCCTCTGAGATAAGTTATCTGTTTTTCTTTGAACTCTCAAAGTACTTCGTGTACTTCTTAACCTCCCCCTTCTAGATTGTAAACTTGGAGGCCAGGATTCTCTTTATCATCCCTCTATGCATCTCTATAATGTTCACAGTGAAAATTGATATTCAGTAAATATTTTAATTAGTCAAATTTATTAATTTCTTTCTTTTTTTTTTGTTTCAGAGGTAGAGTTTAGTGATTCATCAGTTGCATATAATACCACTGCTCATTACATCAAGTGCCCTCCTTAATGTCATAAATGGGCCAAATACATTGCTAGTACCCAGCAAAAATATTAAATTTTAGTACCTTTTCCTCCTTATCCTACTCCAAACTCCTGAACTGCTCACGAGTTAATAGAAAAACTGATAAACCATGTGTTAAGTGCTGCATATATGAGATAGATTATAAGGAAGCTGGAATGGGGAGTGCCTGTCTATCTAAGGCCAGGGATGATTCCCAAATCTGACTTGATTGACTTGAAGAATGGGAAATCCATTATACAGCAGGGGGAGCGGGTTTGGGAACAGGAGTGCGGGGAAGTAAATAAATTCAGGCTTTGAGTATGTTGCATGTATACCAGATATGTGTGTGTGTGTGTGTACATGTGTATGAACGCATTCTTAAATATTTTATTATATAATCTATTTAGTACCTATATATACACACATTTTAATTTTTTATATCTCTAAATAATATGTGGGCCTAAGATATATTTATAAGATATATATGTATATAAATACATGTACATTATATAAATAGTAAATGTTGTAGGTATTCTTTGGGTAATAGCTGTTTTAAACTTCAAAGGAATTTGATAGGAGAAGACTGGATTATCTCAAAGAATCCAAAGGCAGCAATTCTAGTCAGACCTCAGAAGGCACTAGAACCAGAAACTAGAAGGCTATCAGGATTTCTAGGAGTCAGTTATCTGTATATCTCTATCTCTGGCTGCCTTTTTCTGTCTCTCCTGTTCACACTTCTCTTTTTCTCCTTTCCCAACTCCATCTCCTCTCTGTATGAGCTCTCATTTCTGCTACTCTCAGTGTGTCTGCTTCATTTTTCTGTCTTTGTCATTCAGCTTTCCCTTCTTAGACACTCATGTACCAAACTTGATGCCCTTACATGGCTCTACTTTACACATCATCAGTTCAAGCAAATAATATACCATGAATAAGATCTCAGTCCAGCTTCTAAAACTTCTGGAAGAGAGAGAGCATGGATTTATCCAGGTGTTTATTCCTGGTGTAGTTAGCTGTGGCCTAGGGACAGAGTCAGGTTGTATAAACAGGACTCCTGGGGGCTCCACTCTCTCTTTCTCTCTGCATTGCTCTACATCACCAAACCAACTTGGGAATCCTCATTTTCTGGGCATGGATGAAATCACTAAAGGAGACTGTGTAGGTGAGAAGTAAACTCAGAGTGGAACCGTGAGGGCACAAAAATGTTGAAGGAATGGGTGGCTGATAAGGTGTTGGGAAGATTCATTGAAGGAGTGGTCAGAGAGACAGGACAAGAACCAGAACTAGATAGGCTAGGAACTAAAAGGAGGGAAAAATTTCCAAGTGAGGAGGAGTATCTGATATCAAAGAAGGTGATTACTACGAAGAATCCATTAACTCTGGCAATTAGAAGGTCATTAGTGAAAGAAATTTTGTTTTCTTTCCTACAGTGGTGCTGGTAGTAGTTGTTCTTGTTGTTTTTCCATTTATAGAAACAAGGATATTTAAGCAAAGAAATCAGTCTTTGGAATTATGGAACATCAATATGCACGAGTGTATTATATTAGGTTAATACGTTTAGCCTAATATAATGCCTCCCCCAAATCATTACAAAAGTTCCCTGATATAAGGCCAATTTTACATAGTAATATGAATAAAATCAGGGTAATTATTATGTACTGCCAGAGTCACAGGCTACAAGAATGGAGAGTTTGCTTTTTTTTAGCAGGCCTTTATTATTTCTAGAGTACTTGCACATTTGCAAATCCAGGAGGTAGAAGAGGAGGGATATGCTGGGGGTTTTGTTTGATTATATTATTTGTTCTGAGAGCATTTGTCTGTCTCAGACTGTGGTAGAATGCACACATTTTTAATAATGTGGAGTTCTAATACCCAGGAGTACTTAATGTTTTTTTGTTTTCAATTCTCCTTCAACCTTGATATGACTTACAGCATTCTGGAATTTGCTTATGAACCTCATAAGTTCAGACTTGAACTATTCCCTTAGTTCACATAGCTATTTAGTTGTCTTTTATGCCTCCTGATAAATTTTTCTCTACAAGCCAGTGATGAAATTTGAACTTTACGTCCAAGGGAGTGTTTCTGTACTAGTCATTCATTATACTGATGTATTGGCCAAACATTGACTGACAGACGAATCTACAGAAAGCAGTCCAAGGGGCACCTGGGTGGCTCAGTGGGTTAAGCCTCTGCCTTCGGCTTGGGTTGTGATCTCAGGGTCCTGGAATCGAGCCCCGCATCGGGCTCTCTGCTCCGCGGGGAGCCTGCCTCCCCGCCCTCTCTGCCTACTTGTGATCTCTCTCTGTATCAGATAAATAAATGGAATCTTAAAAAAAAAAAAAAAAAAGAAAGAAAGAAAGCAATCCAAAAAGAAAAAATTAGGTGTCTCCTATAATATAAAAGGCTTGTATTTTAGGAAGTTATCTTAAAGCTATATTGTTTAAGTTATCTTATCATATAAGTTATCTTAAAGCTATATCGTTTTCTACCTTATAAAGTGGAAATAATACTATCTCTTAAGGCTGTTGAAAAAATAAAATTAATATAAATTAAAGCACTTTGTAAATCATAAAATGCTATACAGTTTAATTAATTATCAGTGTTGCTGTCTCTCACATGATAGGAATTTTAGTAAGCATTGATATACATAAGTGTTCCTGTCTTTGCAAGTACCATAGCTTATTTCCTTGGTTTGCTGGAAGAAGTTGACCTCTTATGTTTGAGGGACAGGGCAAAAGGGACTGCAGGTTTTTTGGGTCCTGAAAATACAATGTTGTCCACAGCTTCTAATGTTTATAACTTTTTTTAAAAAAAATTCAGATTTGGTGTGCTTTTACTTTAAATGTGGCTCAAGCCTGTGGAAATTTTCTGGATTTTTAATGAGTTCAGTTTTTGGCTTATACTTTTAAGCATAGTATAAGACATAAAAAATATGGCTACCAAAGGAAACTTAGGTGTAATCTTCTCTGTGAATCATTATGTTGAAAAAAAGTGAAATTTATAGCTGACCTTGATTCAGCACTGAATTAGTCATCCCTTACTTATGCAGGATATTACATCAGGAATTCCTGGGTTTGTGTCCAGCCCTAAGCAGTCAACTTCCTGGACTAATGAAGTCCCAGAATAGTTCTCAGTTTAACAGATATTTATTGAGCACCTACTGTGTGCCAAGCATGGTAATAGGCTCATGTCAGCATTGGTATTCAGGTATTTTCAATCAAATTTCAAGTAAGATATAAGTACTTGAATACTATTAGTAATGAAATATCCAGTCCTTAGTAAAATAATACCTGAGTTAATGTGGGAATGTGATAAGATAAGACAAGGGACTTCATTTATGCTCAGAATCCTAGGGCTTTGGTGTTCTGGTTCAATTTTTATGGTGCTCTATGAAATGCCATACGTAGAACATTTATTAATAACTGGGTAAAATTATGGCTCTGGGAAATCTGCAACCACACTTCTGTCTCTCGAACTCCTGAAGAGAAAGAATTATGACAACTCACATTTAGGGACTTACAGTGTTCATCATAACAACTCCATAGCAACTAGGAGAGGGCTTAGCAGCTTATTCATGATCACACAGCTAATAAGTGACAAAGCTCTTTTTCAAACCACCTCAGCATGACTTTACAATTAGTGTTCTTTCCCACGATGCCATCCTATTCCCATCGCTGGCACAGTCATCTGGCTCTGTAGATACACCGTTGCTGCTGGAATAAATAATGGATAACTTTCTTCTGCCTTACTTAGCCAGAGATGCCTTGTTCTTTTTTAAAACAATTATTTTCCTTTTTAGTTTCAAACGTTGTTTGAAAATACCAAAACTGGCTTACACTATATTTATTCTCCAATAAAATCCATTTCTACCTTTTCTCCCTTGCAGCCTTTCATCATGTTTCTGTTTACCCAAAGAAGGAGCTTCCTTTTTTCATCCATTTCACAGCAGGACTGTGTTCTTCTACAGCAGTGATAGCTCTTCTCACACACCAGTTTCCTGAAATCATGGGTGTTTTTGCTAAAGCTGTAAGTATGATCTCAAGGACTTGTGTAGAGTATTTGTAAAACACATAAGAAACCATCTCTGATCTGTTTGTGCTAAACCAGCTGATCAGGGGAAGATGTTTGTTACCGTAAATTACAGGAATTGATTTGTCAAGTAGCTCCATAAATATGTCAAACATAAGTTTTTGGTAACTTGAGCTTTATTTTTGTTGCTTAAAAGTTTAAAGAATACAATGGTACAACATGATAAAGTTGGTCTTTGTAGATCACTTTTGGTGGTAAATATAGCGCTGTTCCTAGCTAAGGAATAACCCAATTCTTTTCAATTCTTTCTTTTTGGCATTTAAAAAAAAAATCCCTATTTGGGAAACAATTTCCTATTTCAATTTTTCCGTTTAAATGAAATAATTAATGATAAAGTCTGCTGATGGAGAGTAAGTAGGTAAGATGGACAGATGGAGCATTCGCCTGGGTACAGAATGTGCTTCTTTACTCAAAGCTTCTCACTGTTGTATCTGTGTGTTCTTAATTGGCCTTCCCCAACCTTGGGTGTAGAACCATGGATAGACCTTTATTCTCATTTTTTCCTTTAATTTGAACTACTTCCCCATTTCCTGAGCTGAGTCTAGATGGTATGTGAAGACTGATATTAGAGAGACTATCCCACGATTATTTACTCTTCTACACAAACTTAGTAATTAATGTCACTGGCTCAAAGTAAAATTACCAAAGAGAAGTCCCTTTAAGTTGATAAGCCTTTAAAAAAAGGTCTTTTTTTAAAATTAACATATAATGTATTATTTGTTTCAGGGGTACACATCTGTGAATCATCAGTCTTACACAGTTCACAGCACTCACCATAGTACATACCTTGTCCATCACGCAGCCACCCCATCCCTCCCATCCCCCTCTCCTCCAGGAGCCCTCAGTTTGTTTCCTGAGATTAAGAGTCTCTTATGGTTTGTCTCCTTCTCTGGTTTCATCTTGTTTCATTTCTTCCTCCCTTCCCCTATGATCCTCTGTCTTGTTTCTCAAATTCCTCATATCAGTGGGATCATATGATAATTGTCTTTCTCTGATTGACTTATTTTGCTTAGCATAATACTCTCTAGTTCTATCCATGTTGTTGCAAATGGCAAGATTTCATTTTTGATGGCTGCTTAATATTCCATTATATATATAGATACCACATCCTCTTTATCCATTCATCTGTTAATGGACATCTGGGTTCTTTCCATAGTTTGGCTCTTGTGGATACTGATGCTATAAACACTGGGGTGCATGTGCCCCTTCGGATCACTATGTTTGTATCTTTAGGGTAAATACCCAGTAGTGCAATTGCTGGGTCGTAGGTAGGGTAGCTCTATTTTCAACTTTTTCAGGAACTTCCACACTGTTTTCCAGAGTGGCTGTACTAGCTTGCATTCCCACCAACAGTGTAGGAGGGTTCCCCTTTCTCACATCCTCACCAACCCCTGTTGTTTCCTGACTGGTTAATTTTAGCCAATCTGAGTGGTGTGAAGTGGTATCTCAGTGTGGTTTTGATTTGTATTTCCCTGATGCCGAGTGATGTTGAATACTTTCATATGTCTTTTGGCCATTTGGATAAAAATGGGTCTTTCTTATACAACTTCACATTTTCAAACACAGAAGGAAAATGCTAATTCATTTTAGTCCCAAATCAAAAAGCACTGGGAACTGTAGAAACACTAGCCCTTACTCAGCAATGTAATTTCTGTATTTTTCTCTATATGCATCTGTTCTAACTCCCTGTTTCCTCACAATCTTTTTTGCTGCCTTAAGAACAGTTTATTTGGTGCCTTAAAGATTAGTTGGTTTTCTTCTGGCACCAGGAGTAAAAGCACTGGTTTCCCTTTTTCCCTGAAGGTCAGCTGCATAATGTGTTAAGTTGCCACTGGCAGTAGGCCTAGCAGTCTGATACTACATTGATTCTGGGTCAGTCTTCAAGGAGAATGACTTTCCACTATTGTTCAGGGAGTATAGATATTTGGGTTGGAAACTGACTGTTTCCTTTCGGTGTAAAAGCGAAGTGTAGTGATCATACGGCAACTGTTGTTCGCAGTGGTGCTGGCTGGGGAGTGAGTGCATCTCAAACTGAGATGACCTTATGTGTACTCTGGCATGGAAAAAAATTGACTGGAAAGGGAATCCCATCCATTTAAGAACTGGAAAAATATATGCAGCTGTGTATTTGAGATCACAGGCAAGCGGTGGGAGGGATGGTCCTTGGAGTTCTCTCAGGGCATTGGAAAGGAGGTAAAATGGAGTGAGGGAGAGATTTAGAATCTAGAATCGATATGTAGCATATGTTAGTCGTGTACTTCCATGAGATACCTGTTAAAATTAGTGCAGGGTGCATTCACCGTCCGCTGTAGCCATCAATGTTAGTATGTAGTATCTGTCTTTATCTGAGACATGGCTGGCGCTCCAAGAGAATCTGGAAGATTACATAGCACAGGCTCCTTAGCACTCCTCTAGCAGAGTCTGAGAATGAGTAATTGTACATTTTAAACTGAAAGCTTCTTTTTTAGACCAAAAGTTATTAATCTACTGTGGTTCTAGGTAGTGAGCAATAAACAGGCATTTATTTACCATCCTTAGATATTTGTATAGTTGGTCGCATATAGTTAAAAATGTGCCTCACAGCAAACTTTTATAGCCACATTTTATCCGGTGGCCTTTACATGTTTTAGTTCCTAAAAGCTAAATATTTACTCAAGGTACCTGCACACCAATATTTGCCATGCAGCAGTACCAAGGGCAGGTTCCATTGAAGAATTTATGAAAAGTGATTACATGTAGGCAATCCTCAGATTATAAACACAGCGTAAAAATGCCTACCAGCCGGCTAGCCAGGAGGGAGCTAGGGGCTCAAATTCTACTTCTTTCCCTATTTACTTAATGGCCTATGCAGTAGGAGCTTCACCATCACCCAGAAACTTGTTAGAAAGCAGAACCTCTGGTGCCACTAGCAACTTCCTGAATCTGCATTTTAGCAAGACCCGCGGGTGATCATATATGCACTTTTAAAACTTGAGAAGCCCTGCTGTCCTCTCCCTGCAACAGGAGGAATTTATATGGCCTGGAGAGTGCCACCTCTTCCAGGTAGAGAGGCGCAGCGTTACGGGATAGCAATGAGCATAGGCTCTGGAGCCAGACTGCTTTCCTTTGAGTTCCAGCCCTGACACTTACTATCTGTGCAACTTCGGGTAAGTTACTTAACCATTTCTCCCCCTCATAGGCACTTGTGAGGGTTAGATGAGTTTAAAATATGATAGGTGTTTAGAACCATGTCTGTCCACAATAGAAACTAGGGAAGTGTTACTCTTGTCGCCACCCATCATTGTCATCATTATCACCAAAGTGCAGCTGTGATGAGAAATCCTAACCCCCTCACGGTTGGGAGGAGCTGTGTTCTGCTAGTAAACTCAAAATGTATTTTCCCATAGAAATTGCAGTATAAATGGTGGCTAGGTGTCATTTAAGCAGTACTGCTGGTACATTATGTGTATTTGTACCACCAAAAGTGGAGAAATGTTTCAGGTTGTAGGTCCTGGCAAACTGCCTTGTAGAACATCAAATATTGACAAATTGCAAACTGCCTATGTTAGGATTTTCAATTAGGTCAGATATTTGATAGCCAAATATAATGGAAATTAATCTATTTAGTCAGGCAAAGCAATTTAAGAAAATTGCCTAAATTTTTTCCATTGTTATCATGGTCTCTTCCTCATCTGATATATTTTTATATTAGCTCATATGATAGACTAAATTTAATCTGAATTTGTGAAAATACGTTTGTTACAAAAATTGCTTTTTTGTGAAACAAGGCACTAGGGATTAATGGTTTTTATAATCCTCACTGTGCCTCAGATTGAGATAAATGGAAGAGTAATTAGAATGGTTAGTGGTTTTAGTGCCCTATCTTTTGCATGTACGAAGCTGTGTGGAATAAGACTTCAGTTTCAGCAAGTTAGGGCTTTCTTTCTTGATTTTTCTCCTGGCTGAGATGAAAACCAAGTCTGACATTCGACATAGAGCAATAAAAAAAAAAAAATTGCATAAATCCCTGGAGATGTGGAATGTGCTGATATCAGAGCTGATACTCTCCAAGACCAGAATTCCTGAAAAAGGAAAAAGTGCTTTTAAGTGGTAGGTCATTTTCTCACCTGCTTTGAAGCCTGCTGGGTTAAATATGAGAGTTCAAAGTAAGGGTAGCCAGCAAACCAAATGAACTGGAATCTGATTCTGCTTATCTGAAAGGAGCTTCTTTATTTAAGAGCAGCACTGCCCTCTCCTTAGAGAACCAATCTTCATCTAGCCTGGCCCCTTTCATTTCTCTCCTGCAAGAAAAGCTTTCTTCTTACTAAGTCTTGGGAGGGCGTTATCACAGCAGTGAAGACTATAGATGGTCTTTGGAGGTTTCACTGACTTACTGATGAATTCAGGCTTGTAACATGTGATTTTAGTACTTTGAATTCAGAAGTGTGTTGGCATATATAAAAACCCCTAGTTGGGTTTTAATGAAATAGAATAGCTAGCCTTTGCAACCTGGCAGAAAAAGGTGTTAGTGGGCAAAGATAGGGATCAGAAAGATTCCCAAATAAATAGTTTGTTTCACTAAAGCAAAACTTTGTTGAAATCTGTTTCACTGAACACATACTGTAGCTGTGCTGAGGTGGGAATGGGCCCTGTTTCCACATATTTTTACTAATCTTTATGTGGGAAAATGTGGTTGGACATGCCAGTGATGAATTTCTGAGCAACTCATAATTGGCTGGCTCCAGTGTAACTAAGGCCTAACAATCTGCTTGATTAATTCTTTAAGGACTACATTAGCCAAGTTGTATGATTTCCAAAGATATAGAAGGTCAGATGTTATGCTAACAAAAGACCTTTCTACGGAGTGTTCCACTGGGATTTCTTCAGCCCCTTCCCAAAAATAATTAACATTTTTCTCCCCAAATTACATTTAAAAAAATAATAAGCAGAAATAAATG